ATATTCTAATTATTTTTTAAAATTGAAACTAAAACACACTAACCATATATATATAAGATTTATATATTATCTAATTTGTGCTTTAATGGTACAAGTTAAAGATGTAATTCATAAACTTTTTTATATTAATTAATATAAAAAATAACAAAAATTGACATTAATTTTATCATTAGTGCATCATGTATTGTTTTAATTAACTGGTTGATTAAATAAATGTTAAATTTTATTTTTTAATGACAATTAATATTAAAAAACATGTTCTTAATTTGTGTTCTAAATATATAAATTAAATGAACCCACATATATATATATATATATATATATTCCTTCCCTATTTGCTTGAATGATCAAACATAATACCTCCAATATAAAATTTTCTAGTTCTTAATTCATAAAATGTTTCTTTTTATTTTAAAAAATTATTCTTAAGTTCTTTTCATAACGTAATTTTTTAAATTTTACACGATGGTACTACTTAAAAGATAGATAATTTTTTTTTAGTGTACATGTTACATAATACTATTTGTTTCAAAACAATAAACATTTATAAAAACAATTAATCTATTATTTTAAAATAAACTTCAAATAAAAAAACTATTATTCTAAGATGAAAATAATATATCATAAGACGAGATTCAGCATTGACTTATGAGCCTGAAGCTTCCCCCACGGCACCAAAATCATTCGTCAGCAAACCCTTTTCAATAATCGGAGTTTTATGATAACTAAACATATCCATATATTTTTTGAAAATAGGCAATAGAATTTATGGTAAGTGAATTTGGATCATCTATTACGCAAGATTGTTATGATGACAAACAAGATAAATTAAGGTGAACCGTGGAAGAAACTGTGGATTCATTATTTCAACACCATGTGCTTTGATGATATCAATTCCAGTTAATATAACGAGGCTGCCATGTTGACAGCAGCTACGATGTTAAACATAATAATAATACATTAATAAATTTAACCTCTAAATATTTTAATCTATGATTCTTATGAATCAAATAAAATAACTAAAAAAGCAACAACAAAAAAATAATGTTATTTTATAACTGATATATTGTTATATATTTTTGTATATATCGTGGTCATTACGTGATCAAATATAATCATTTATGTATGTTAAATGAGAAAAAAATTCTCATATCAATTAATTATATAAAAATTTGCAAATTTAAACATAATTTCAGTTAGTCTACATATTGTTAATTTTCTAATTTTGGTGTATGCATGGTTTTAGTATTAATTAGATTCTATTAGGACTCTATTGTTGATGATTGGAGGAACAGT